GACAGACTGCGGTACTGATGGGCTACAGCATTGAGAAACTGTAGTAGTGACGAGCCGCAGCACCGACGGGCCGCAGCACCGACAGACCACTTTAGTGACGGGCCACAGCACCAAGGGGCTGCAGTGCCAATGGTTTCACAGGAGTAGCTTGGATGTGGAGCCCAGGGGAAGCTGCAGCTCTTGACTAATCATGGGAAGTGATGTGTTTTGGTTTCAGAAAATGGCAGTTTCAGGTGCTATTACAAAAACAGTAATATCAAATGTAGTTCTTTGCTTATACTAGAGGGGGAGCTCATAGCATCGGCGGTCATCTGTGGCCATAATGAACCAAAACAGGAGTGGCTTAACAATGACGCCAAGGAAGAAAATGATGCAACAAGGCTGTACCTTCTGTAGGACGGCAGGAAGGGCTGAGAGCAAACCATGGTAAGCAAGGAGCAAGCTCACCCCCTAGTGGTCTGGGCTCTGAAATGCAATCAATCACTAAAAGTGGAGTAAGGAAATACGCTAAGGGTTGGGTCTGCTTGCTAACAGTTTAACATAATGTGAGCCTGAAGTAAAATAAATACTGTGAAGAAAATTCCCCTTTTTAACTGAAAACCCAACACAGGTCAGGTTAAGGCAAAGCCGTATCTGCAAGATTCTAGGCTGGTTCTAGGTTCTCCAGAGCATGATGCAGCTGCCCTTGAAGACATCTTTGACAATAAAGCAAGGCCTTTCATTACCCACAACACACCAGGAACCGTTTCATGCTTCTGCTGTAAGTGAATGGAGGTCTTCATTAAGAGCTAATGAGGACCACGCCGTGTCTCCACCTTCCTGTTTAGGGCATGTTTACTGGGACACCCCACTGATGCCTGCAGGTCAAACCAATAAAGGTCCTTTTACTGGTGCAGCAGCAAGTCATGGAGGACACGAGTCTGGGAATCAAACGTTCCAGGCGCAGTGCATCAGGACGAGCACACGTGAGGAAGGGCGAGTGCCACTTCAGCGACCGGCTCCCTCCTTTTCCAAGAACACATGGTTACATTTTTACCCCTTTACACCCAGTCTAATACAGCTCTGTCTGATAAATCCAGGGGTAACTTACAATTTGAAGCGAACATGTTTATTCGGTGTCTTTTTGCATATTAATGTCAGAATAAGAGAGCAGATGTCTATATGTATATTACATGGGAGTGACGGATGGGCTCATGGGTGAAAACATGCACGCTCCCGTGGTCAGAAGAGATTGGCCTTCTTCTTCATCTCATTACGTTTCCAGAGGGGCAGTCTGTCAAACTCCTCAATCTCCATCCCAAAGATCTCAAAAAACAGTTCTGGAGCCAGGTGGCGCTGGAGAGAGATAAAGCAGAAGGTAGAGATGGGACATGCAGATTGTAGTGACGGTACTGAAGGTGATGAAAGGAGCAGGTCCACAGGCTCATTACCTCTAGTCTTGTCCTATCCACATCCCTAGGTAGCTTAGCTCGCCCTCTGCTGGTGACCGTGAGCATCTCATAAGGATAGACCTTCAAAGAGACACGCTTTTGTTCAAGCAAAGGCTACGCGTGGGAGGAGACACAGAGAGCTTTTCAAGGCCTGTACAGAAGACAGCGGAGCAGAGTCCATGGTGACACGCCTATCAGCGCGCAGTGTTCTCCTACACGGTGACACGCACAGAAACACGCACTGCAATACTGAGTGCGTAACAATGGTTGTTGATGCATGGCAGCACGTGACAGTAGGTGGCGGTATGTGATGGTGAATGATAATGTGCAGCAGTGTGTGAGTGTGTGGCGGTGCATTTCGGTGAGTATTAGTGCGTGGCAGTGTGTGCAGATGCTTTTCGGTGAGTATTAGTGCATGGCAGTGTGTGGTGGTGCAATTTGGCGTGTATTAGTGAGTAGCAGTGTGTGGGGATGCTTTTCGGTGAGTATTAGTGCCTGGCAGTGTGTGGGGATGCATTTTGGTGAGTATTAATGTGTGGCAGTGTGTGTGGATGCTTTTCGGTGAGCATTAGTGCATGGCAGTGTGTGCGGATGCTTTTCGGTGAGTATTAATGTGTGGCAGTGTGTGTGGATGCTTTTCGATGAGCATTAGTGCATGGCAGTGTGTGGTGGTGCATTTTGGTGTGTGTTAGTGAGTAGCAGTGTGTGGGGATGCTTTTCGGTGAGTATTAGTGCTTGGCAGTGTGTGGGGATGCTTTTTGGTGAGTATTAATGCGTGGCAGTGTGTGGGGATGCTTTTGGGTGAGTATTAATGTGTGGCAGTGTGTGGGGATGCTTTTCGGTGAGTATTAGTGTGCAGCAGTGCATTGCAGTGCATTTTGGTGTGTGTTAGTGAGTAGCAGTGTGTGGCAGTGTATTTCAGTTAGTATTTATGAGTGGCGGCGCATTTTTGTGAGCATTAATGTGCACTTCTGTGACTATTATGGTGGGGCAGTGTCTGCTGGTGCATTCCACTGAGCATTAGTGTGTGTTTCGGTGAGTATTATTGCGTGGCAGTGTGTGGCAGTGCATGATGGGGTGTACTGCATGCTGTGCCGAGGCAGCAGACTCACTGAAGCTTGTGGCCTTGTGCAGGAAGCCTGCTTCTAATCAGTAAGTCTGCAGTTTTATAGCATCCAGTCAAAATGACTGGTTGAGTACAGACTGATTAAAAAGAGCCACTGCAGCAGCAGCAGTGAGACCTGGCAGGGGATCCCATGCTAACAGCCCCCTGCAGCCAGGACTCTGTCAGCGCACTTTACCCATATGAGGGTACAACTCTGGTGTCTTTAATAGCAGGCAGACCTACGTTTTTCTGTGTATGTCAATGTATGGAATAAGGCCCATCTGGTGAATAGTGAGCGAGGAACTATAGTGAGACTATACAGAAGACGGGGCTTCCTGTCAGGCAGGCACACACATAGCCTTTTACAGTTCCAAGCACCGCCTCCCTTGTGATGTCACTATATTCTCAGGACCCTTGACCCCAGTGGAGTTGCTCACGGGAAGAATGGAGCAGCCAGAGTGCCAGGCATGATGGGAGTGGTCACCATGGTAACAGTGCTGAGTGGATTTGACATGGCTTTAGTGGAACTGGGCAAATATTTACATCTGCCTTACAAGACAAGGCTGCCAGTTTGAACCAGACCAGACTGCCCAGCTGAGTTAGCGTGTTAATGGTTAGCTGTGTGCTCATCCAATCAGCTGGGCTGGCCTGGGGTACACCCCCAACCCTGCTGTGTTCGCAGGCAAACAGGACATGGCTACATGGGGGGCTCACACTTTACAGAAGATTGACAATGGAAAAGATAAATACTTGCTTTTGGTTCCAACATATTAGGCATAGAGTTTCCCCTGTCCATTCTTGTTACAGGCGCAGAGTCATCGAGAGCGGGCTACAGGATAAAACACACACATGTATGACACAGAGCGATGGGGCTGAGCACGCTGGCCCCGACGCTGGGACACGTCTCCCTCAGGACCCCCTCAGGACCCCCTCCCCTCAGGACCCCACTGGCTGCTACCACGTCCCGGAAATCTCAATCCCAGCCTTGGGGACCTAGGACTCTTACGTCTAAGCCACCGAGGATTTATTGGCATGTTATAAATGATCAAGGAGTTCACACTAATGAGAACTCATCAGTTATTCAGCTCCTTACTCTTACAGTAACTATGAGCTATGATGGATGGACCACATTGCCTTACAGATTAAACATTTTTTTCCCCCTGAGTTTAAAAAAAAAAAAAAAACAACAAATGCGTAAGCGTCTCAGCCGGCAGCTCTGTGACATCTCATTCGCTATGAGGCGGGGCTAAACCCCGCCCCTATACGTGTCCCACCCTCCAGTCCCCTTGCCTGGGGCGGGGTTTGCTGTTGTGGCTTGGCATTAGCGTGTCTATAAGGTGGAGGCTAAAAGAGGGTGTAGACCTGGTGTGTGTTTGTTATGGAGGCTAGGTGTTAGCATGTCTATAGGGTGGCTGCTAATGGAAGGTGTAGGCCTGGGGGGTGGGTGTACCCCCAATCCTGAGGGAGCGCCTCGTCCCAGCAGCACGTGACATAAACACAAGCGCAGCACACGGATGTGTTCGGCATTCTGTTACATATGAACGCTTGGCAACACAGCAAGGCTCCACAAGGACACTGATGCGGAGAGCGGGTGAAGGCATGGCCGTGGAGCATGCTCAGTGCAGCTTACGGAAAGGCCCCTCCCGTCAGACTGCTGCCACGTACCTTAAACTCTGCAACACAGGAGAGAGTGAGACAGCACATGGTCAGTCTGATATTCCACAACATACTTCACTGCACTAAAAGTATATGGCAGCTACGTGTTTCCTGCAAATGCAATGGTGATTGGCTGATCTGAGAATGATGGACACGCCCTCGGCAGGTGCAAACCTCGCCTTCCTTCTCCGCTCACGTCGCTGTAGCTGTTGTACTGGCTGAACTCTGTGGACTGTGGCTGTAGAGGAAAGGAACACAGATAAGGTAGCCTTACCCTTCGTGGTTTTTAATTATTGGTAAATTTCAAATTATAATAAATAATTAGTTACTGAAGGTGGCCTATTGGATTCTAAAAGTTGAAGCAATGGAGATGGAAATGACTGTCTGAAAAGGGACAGATGAAAAACAGGGACGGATTCAAAATTAAAATCTTGAATTTTGATTCTGTTCAAAAGTGCACAGAAGACAGAAGCCTCATGAAGGTGGACAGATAGAAAACAGGAGTGTCTGAAGATGGACAGATAAAGGACAGGAGTGTCTGGAGGTGGACAGATAAAGGACAGGGGTGTCTGGAGGTGGACAGATAAAGGACAGGAGTGTCTGGAGGTGGACAGATAAAGGACAGGAGTGTCTGGAGGTAGACAGATAAAGGAC